TTTTCTATTCTAAGATGTATGCCATATTAAACCGAGTGTCTGTCCATTTAGGTCTACACATTTACTTATATCACAAAGAAAAGGTTTAATTTGAATGATTAAATTGATTTGTGACATAACAGACATCCATTGACATATTTTGATTGTTGGGACAAACTGAATTTGGATGGCTATATTAACACAATATCATTAGATTTCTAATCAGCAATTCTGGGTAGAGTACTTACCAATTGTAGTACGTTACTGATTCCAAATTACATTACATAAATTGTAGTTAGTATCATAATCCATTACATTACACATTTTAGGTAATATAATCAGACTACTTTTAGATTACTTTTGACCTAACTCGTTTATCACATTGATTTAATTAAGACAATCTTATATAAAAAATACGAAAAATTCTAACGCAGAGACTATCGATAAACTATCTGGTGTATAACCTCAAAATTTGGTGTAACTCAAACTCCACCTGGTTTTCAAACAACAGGGACTTCAAACCCTAGTGCACCCACTACCATAACAGCTACTCTCCAGGGGCCTCAATTCTAAAGATGTGTGTAGAACAGGGGTGCCCAAACTCGGTCCTGGAGGGCCGGTGTCCTGCAGAGTTTAGCTCCAACCCCAATTAAACACACCTGAACCAGCTAATCAAGCTCTTATAGGCATACTAGAAACTTACCAGCAGGTGTGTTGAGGCAAGTTGGAGCTAAACTCTGCAGGACACCGGCCCTCCAGGACCGAGTTTGGGCACCCCTGGTGTAGAATGATCCTAAATGTGAACTGCATTTTCTTAACTGATGTTGAACTATTTTAATTACTGGTATCAGTTGTTGTATGCATAAGAACATTTTTGTGTCAGTTTCTGCCTTTATAAAACCAGATTTGTTCTTCACTTTTGATGTACTATGAAATCCATGGAATTTACAAGGTACTTTTAAATCCAATCTTTTGTGCATTTTATAAATAATGCCCCAGTTTACAATTCAAGAGGCAAATCCCAGGTCACAATTCAGAAATAAATGTGCATACAGAACAGAACAAAATCAGGTGAATGTTAATGCAGCTCTCGCCAGCAAGGTATTATGCAATAACCCCACCTGGTCCATTTCACAAGTTATACTGAAAATAACAAATAAGCACCACATTGGTATGGTTATATGGGACCAATGGGACGTTCCCAGTCATCCCTTCACAAGCCTTCCATTTGGCATTGGGTGTCATGTTGCACAATATAAAATAAAACAGACCAGTTACCACAGCTCTCAACTTTCATTTCCAATGTCCAACCTCATAATACTGATGCACAATTACTGCATAACTGCTGCGGTTACTATACAGCCTTAGATCAGTGCAGAAATGCTAATGACATCAATCCAAGGAGTCTACTAGCATGACCTGTTCTGGTTTAAATATTCATCTATTATCTGCTGAGACACCTGACATATTTTGCATGCTGTAGTTCTTTCGTTTTCCGCTGATCAGGGCAAATTCAATCCATTCTCTTCTTAGAGTTGTGCATGCATGAAGAGCATCTTTTTATATTATACCAATTTGTTTCTCCATGAGCTACATGCTCACCTTCAGAGACTTGCACAGCATGTTATTCTAAATTATTCTTTTGAAACACTAAATAGTAATATATAATAATGGATATGAAACATAAAACTGGTTTAGGGATTAGTGTTAGAGCAGACTTTGCTTTCCATTGTGGCCATGAAGTTATTTAACGGTAACACCTCAGTGAGTCAGTCTTAAAAACACAGATGAATCAGAAGTATAACATACATACAATAACATGCTTGAGGCTTGATTCTCATGAGTCTGTGCTGCAAAATCAAGTGAGCAAAATGGTTACTTAGTAAGCTGCTCACTACTGGACCACAAAATAGTGAACCTGCTGTTTTGCAAGGTAACAATAATACCTGTAACAATAACCCTCAACTTATATTAAATGCATCATGTTACAAACGTAGTAGTTCTGTGGTAATTTTTGAAACTTGGTACTGCTATAACAGCCAAACATCCTACCAAGTCTAAAGTATTGGGACAAAACAGTTTAGTTATGAGTTATGGTCTGCTGACAGGTAAGTGATAACATTACGTCATCATTTTGGGGGGGAAATATCCAATAGAAAATAAAATCTATTTAAATGATTGTTTGTGTTAAGAACGTTCTATTAATAATCTCGGATTCATTTTAAAGTGGAAATGTTGTGGTTTCAAAAACAAACGGCAGATGAAGTTGCTTTAAGAATCAGTGAATCAGAAAAAAAGTGAGCTACCGACCTGATTGGGGTCATCATAAAACACACCGACAGAAGACAGCTTCGGTCCGATACTGCAGCTCTCCGTGTAAGCGGCTCCGCTGGCCTTGTACGATCCTTTTCTAAACTTATATGCAATCGTGATGTTTTTCACCGGAGGAGATCCGGTCCGAATCACGACTTCCGAGAAAAGCCCGGAGTAAAAAACGAAGCCCACCACAGTTAAGATGAGACAAATGACCAAAAACAGAATCAGCAGTAAAATGACAAAGTCAGACATTTTTGCCCGGCTGTCAGAAAATCCAGCACAAAAACGCTGAATGTATGAATAATTGTCAGTTACGGTGATGGCACACACAAAATCAATCCTTCCGCTTTCCGAACAGGCCTGTTTGCATCCGTGTCGCTCTGCAGATGTTACATTTACAGTATCTGTGCTTTACTGCAGGTCAGTTTACACCTGTCTTTTAGTTCTGATATTGACACAGCTGAGCATTTGTTTATCCTCCTCTGCACATAATACACAGCACGCTTTGCTTCCTGGATGCACCATGTGACTGCGACTCAGAGGTTGGCTTGAAACGAGCCAACCAAAGAGTGATGAGAAGTCCGACTCATTTCGGAGAATCGGTTCTTTTGAACAGTTCGAATCTAAAACCGATTCAGTGATTCTTGGAGCGATCAACCGAAACAAATGGATGTTTTTAAAGTTTTTCCCCAAAATATTCCAATTAAGGTTCAATAATAATGTCTATTATAATGTCATTATGTGGAATTGTCAGCATTTCTGTCATACAGTCGAATATTGAACAAGAACATACATAAAAAACAGTTAAGGTCAAAATTGATGTCATTGACAAATTTATCATTAACATTTACATTTGTATTGAATATGAAAACAAATAAACAAATTAGCATATTAAAACACGCAAATACAATTATAGCTGTTCAAGAAAACCACTTGATTATTGATAACTGAACATTGCGCAACAGCATTAATCAAAATCTTCCATTTAATGAGATAACAAATCCCGAAAATAATTTGATGTAATAATAAAGCAACAATAGTGTACTGATCATGTGCTAATGTACAACAATCTTTGCTTTATTTCAGTCTGATTCATCTGATTCTTCTTGTCCATTGTTCCTCTCATCAGAGTCACTCTCCTGTGTCAGAACAGACTGAATTAAGCATCACAAAGTGAAAGGCATTACAGAATCTCATAAAAGATCTCATGAGGAAATTAAACTCCCAAAACAAGCCAATCAAAATTCATTACAGGCTATTAAAGGCAATTATAACCATGCTGTATATTTGCTTTTATGAATTATGTGACAACGCATGATAACAAAATACTGCTGCTGAGCAGGTGATGACTGTATGTTAATGTAATATGTTTGAAATGAGTTTAAATATGAAAAATAATACAACTATTAATCAAACTTAATTGAACTGATCTGTCATATGTGTATTTAACACAATGTGCTCTGTGAGGCCACAGTATCATGCATAGTAATGGGAAATCATAGTATGTTGTAATGCCAAAAGTAAGGTATTTCAGATGGTATTCAGATATTTCTGGAAGGTTTTCCAAGTGTGCATCCATGCATGCTATTTCAGCTAATATTACCAAAATCCCCAAAACAATGGGGCAACAGAAAGGTTGCAAGGCTGAAACTAAACTGAAAAGAAATACTTTATTCAGCAAGGGTGTATTAAATTGATTGATCAAAAGTGACAGTAAAGCCATATAAAAAGATTCCTATTTCAAATATATGCTGTCCTTCATATTTTTCCACAAAAATATTACGCACTGATAATGATAATAATAATAAATGTTTCCTGAGCACCAAATCAGTATATTAGAATGATTTCTGAAGGATCATGTGACACTGAAGACTGGAGTAATGATGCTGAAAATTCAGCTTTGCCATCACAGGAATAAATTACATTTATAAATGTTATTTTAAATTATAATAACAACGGCCAACATTATTGTTTTTACTGTATTTTTGATAAATGCAGCCTTGCTGAGCATAAGACATTTCTTTCTAAAAACAAAAAAGTAGAAAATCTTACAACCCCAAACTTTTCAACATGACACTAAAATGTAAGTGATAAACTAAGGAAATCAATTTAGCTAGATGCTAACATTTGATCAGACTACATGGCCGTGAATTATGCAGGATAATGCAAAGTCAGTCAGTCATTACTCATTATACCTCCTCTTCACTCTGCAACTGAGAAGACTCTTCCTCCTCTTCATCAACTGCCTGTGACCTTCATCTTTCCCAAAAAGACTCATGGCTGTATTAGATCAAATGGGTGCTTCTACTAAATACTGAGCATTTTTCAGTTTTTCTTTTTTAATAAATCTGCAAAGATGTCAACAATTCTGTGTTTTTCTGTCAATATGGGGTGCTGTGTGTACATTAATGAGGAAAAAAAATTAACTTAAATGATTTTAGCAAATGGCTGCAATATAACAAAGAGTGAAAAATTTAAGGGGGTCTGAATACTTTCCGTACCCACTGTATATACTGTAAAAAAATGTCTTGTAAAAAAAAATCTTAATATTTAGTCAAAATACATTTTCTTCTGACAATTTAAAAACATGCTGCAAAAATAACAGTGACAATGTCACCAAGTTAAGTAAAAACTACTAAACTAGTGTAGAAAAAAATCCTTAGAGTGGATTTGATGCAGCATGATGTGGCTTTTCCTATGAACAACTTCATCTGAGTTTAACATCTCACCTTTAAGTCTCTGTTCTTCAGGTTGCCCAGCCAGAAGGCTTCCTGGCAATGGTTAAGAGTGAGCATGGCTTTCACACGATACACAAACTGCTCCAGACTTTTCTTCAAGGCTGGAACGTGATTGGTCAGCCCTGTATCTTGCCTAATCTGTGAACCATAAAACAGTGATAATAATAATAATTACAGATACAAGATTATTTTTCACAAATGCATTTAACATCAATAAGCTAAATTCATTTAGCGTTTTCCTCGTTTTAATCTTTAATCCCACTCTTGCTCCACAGACCACCATGAGCTGCAGATGCTGTAATTCACCTTTGAGTGGCCACACATGTAGTGGAGTTGTCTAGTACTGAGCTGGAAGGTCTTCAGTAAACTCTGGACATCCTCCTGAGAAGATCCCGTGCAATGATTAAAATCTCACTTACTTAAACTGATCAATTTTGCTCAAGATGCAATGTTACACATAAGTTTGAATGAATGAGACGGAAATACCTTGTGTTTTTTAAAGCTGTAGTCAAGCAGAGGCATTCCAAGTTTGAGGAAGGACTCCAGAAAAAGGCGACCATACTGAACAAGATGATCAAAAACAAAGTGAAAAGTGTTGAATGACATTATCTTCATAAACATACCTTCATGTGTGCAAATTCTTCTTACCTTTAAGCACACAGTGAGTACAGGTCTGCTGTCAAACATCTGTGCCACAGAAAACAGAAGAACATGCTGTTTACAGAGCCATAAATGTGATGTGCACACTGGGAGAACAGGCAAGATGTGAAGGCCTCTGTACCTTGACCAGGTTTATGAGGATGTGGAAGTCACGCACAGCCAGATTCCATGTTAGGAGCTTCTCGCTCTGCACCTGAATAGATTTAGGGCATAAACTTGAGACACACACACACACTTCTCTACACTTCCTGTTGGTAACCAAATAATAATTAAAATAATATCTACACCCACACAACAAACAAACACACACCTCTTGACTATCCATCTGTTTGCTGGGAGGAATCTTGCGCACAGCTCTCTCCAGCTCTGCCATCATGCTCTTGTAGTACACTAGGAATGTCTGCCTGCAGCATCAAGCAAAGCACAGGTATCTGCATTTATTGCATGACTCTCTGGAATACCTGATTCTGATTGGTCAAACGCAACACTGAGTTATCAAATATTTTAGTAATAATACTTCATGTACATATCATTATAAATTGGATATGGCAGCCTGCTGCACCTGTTGAGTGTCGGCCAGCTGCGTGAGTTGGCATCTTTAGCAGCATTCATCAGCTCTGGAACCCCTTCACCTGCTATTTCCTCCACCGCCTTCAGAACATCATCAGTGTGCTCCAGATAAATACTACAGCAGAAAACCAAATTGATGCAAACATCCTCAGATATAAACAATAATAACCAGCGTAACAAAAAATGTTTCTGAAGACAATCACCTATTGCACCTTTAAATATTAAACCATGGCATTTTAGTTCAAGTTTTTTTCTTCTTTCGTGTAACATGTTCTTTTGGGTATGTTAATTAGGGCATATTTTGCATAGGCCCATCCTGTTCAAAAGTTCAGGGTGGGTAAGATTTGTTTATGAAAGAAGTCTCTTATGCTCACCAACGCTACATTTATTTGATCAAAAATAAGAGTAAAAATAGTAATATTGCAAAATGTGTCTAACACGAAGTGAGGATTAATGGGTGTAACGAGACTCATAAAGCAAATAAATAATTTTATTGACTTACTTCTTTCTCCTCTACCTATCAGAATCTAATTTCCATGGGTCTTAACACACTTGTTGCCTCAATTCAGTGTTATTTTAGTATTATTTATATACTATTATGGAATCAAAACCCGATCCCCATATTTTTGGTTTTAATTTTCATTTCAGTTCAAGTTTTAGCAATTTTGTTATGGGCTTTTGTCATTTTTATTTGTTTTTTTAATATATATTTCTACAAAATTTTAATTAAGCTTTAAGCTTTGATTTACTCTTATTTCAGCTTATTTTAATTTCTGAAAGTGATTTTTAGTAGTTCTAGTTAAGAATAACAACACTGCCTCAGTGACTCCTGGAACTGAATGGGAACTTAAAGGCAGGGTATGTGATTTTTCAAAAACACTTTAGAAAACTGATTCGGGCCGAATAGCAAAACAAACTTGTAGCCAATCAGCAATAAGGGGCGTGTCTACTCGTGATGTGAAGGAGAGAGCTTTCAGTGCATGGGACGGACATTAGCCGAGCCGAGCGACAGAAAGATAGAGATGGCAGATAAAAAAACAAAAGAGGAAAACGTCTGCAGAACGATAAGGCAAGAAGTAGGACCCGTGTAAATATCGGATCAGCTTTCCAGCGCTGGAGAGAACTCAAGGAGCGGAGGCCTGCGATCGGACGACGAGGTTGCTTTGTTTCTTCTCAATAGGTGAGTAACACC